TCCCCCTTGAGATCACCTAGCATCCCAGCTTGGAGAGTTTTTACCAGCCCTTCACAGATACCTCTTGCCAAGAGATGGTTTCCTGACCCTTCCAGAGCTCTCCTCAGCTTCACATGATGCTGATCCAACACCAGCCCCTTCTGCCCCCAAGGAGGTGGACAGGAACCGAGGGAGGAAATGAAGTAGGGAGAAAGGAAAAGAGGTGAGAGCAGTCTGGGTCGCCAGGACAGTGATGGCTGGAGGCTGAGGCTGGAAGGAGAGAGGCCAGGATTGGTCAGTTTGTCCTGTAGGACCGGAAGGAGGGGCTGGTAACGTGGGGTCACATCCCTGTGGGACTGACTCTGCCTGCTGGGAAATACTAAGAGGATTCAAGAATAGTTTTAACCTTGTTTGCTATCAGTCCCACCAACCACTCTGCCCAAGGCCCTTTTCAGCAGGGGAAACTGAGGCCCACTAAAAGGAAGTGACTCTTCTAAGAACGCGAAAAATGGTAATTGCGAAAGCCAGACCTCCTCACACTCACCAGTTCTGGAGGTTGGAGGAGCTTGGGATTCCCCCTTTGGAACCATGGGGAAGAGACCTTCACCTTGGCTCCCATCCCCTTCATGGGAGAGAAGCACTAGGCAGGAACATACTCTCAGCTCAAAATCTGCCATTAAAGATGGTGTGGGGTCAGTAGTGCACCTTGAGCTGTCTGAACCAGTTCTGAGTTACCCCTTTCCCCATGGTAACTTCATTTTTGTCCCTAGGCTATATACACAGTTAATGCCACAGTCACCCCACATTCACTATTCCACTTGATAAATATTTATTGAGTGACGACTGTGTGCCAGGCAATGTACCAAGCATTAGAGATAATCTCCTCCCTTTCTCCCTTTTATCCTCCCATCCTCTCATCCTTTCTCTTTCCTCGTTCACTCATTCAATTCAGTAACTACTTAAACTATTGAGGCACTACAGCCTTACAGACAAGCGTGATATTTAGAGCTAGACTATCAGGATATGAACCCTGACTCAGTCACTTACTGGCTGTGTGAGCTTGGCAAGTCACGTAAGCTGGATTTCCTATCTGTAAAATGGTGTTAATAATAGCACCCTCCTTATAGGGTTATGATGAGGATCAAATGATGCACGCTAAGTGTCTGGAATAGCACCTGACGTAGTAAACACTTCATAAACATCAGCCATTATCATCGTTATTGTTATTATGTGGCTGGCACTGTGCCAGGTGCTGAGGAAATTGCTCTAATATGCTCCTCTCACAGGGATCCTTGCATGCCAGCCCTTGTTTCGGCCTCCTGCCTTCTGCCTGGTCTTCCTGCTTCTAGCCCCTCAGGCCTCCGGTCCCGGGGCCCTGCTCGGACTCATGGAAGGTCAGAGGAGGGACTCACGGAAGATCAGAGGAGGTGAGGCTGACTGCTCAGGAGTAGCAGGGCTTATGTGAAAAGCTGGAGCACCAAGTACCTGGCCTGTGTTCGACTTGCTGTGCCACCTGGGTGAGCCCTTCCCCATTCTGGGCTCAGAGTCCCCTCTCTGAGATGAGAACGGTGCGCTGGCTGGATTCGATCAGCCCTGCCTGCCAAGGCTCGGTGTCTAGAGCCTATGGGCAGATGAGGGATGTGGATGTGGGGGAGTTGGCACTAGAGGACCCCCCTCGTGTTTCTGCTGAGGCCAGAGTGAGCCCTCTGCTGCCCACAGTGAAGATGTGCCCATACAGATTGATGTGCTGTGTCTGAGCGTGCAACCTCAAGGGAGGTGGGGGTCCCCAGAGTCAGTCTGCAGCCACTGAGAGCAGTGGGTAAGAGCACAGGGCCCAGCAGCTCAAATCGCTTCTTGTACTATACTCACCATACATGGAACTCTGGATGCAGAATTTAACCTCTCTGTGCCTCAGTTTCCCCATACGTAGCCAGCAATCGCACACCTGCTCCACAGGGAGTGTTAGGTAAAAGGCTTGGCCTAGCACTCGCGAATGCTCAGCGGAAAGTGGCAGCTGCCACGATTGTTATGGGTCCCGACATCCCACCCCCTGCCTCACCCTCGGCTCCTGAGCAGGGTGGGTGTTCCAGGCGTCAGGCCCATATGGGGCCTGCCCAGGACCCCGGGCTGTGTTGGGAGTCCTCTCTCCTTGGGAGGGAGACTTGAATCGGAGTGCTCCTGCCAACCCCTCCCGCCTGGCTTGGCAGCATGAAGACAACGCCGGCCAAAAATATTTGTGTGGGTGGCGGAAAGTTAACTTTTCCGCCTCTCTCTTCTTTCCTGGAAACCGTGGCCACCATCAAATACAGCAAAACAGAAGCAGGGATAGAGCAAAATGAGGCCCCTGCGGGGTGTAAAAGGGAGCCCTGCTCCCCATGCCCACTCCTACCTCCAGCCATCTGGCCCTGTGGTAGTGCCGGCAGCGGGGTTGGGGACTCCAAGTGCTTAGAATCATGGCATCCTGCAATGTGAACCAGAGTGGTGCCAAGGCTGGACAACCCCCCCACCCCACCGCCGCCGCCAGCATCCTCTGGCTCAACCCTGCCATTGTGCCTTTTGGCAAACTGACTCCAAAGTGCAGAAGGCATCTGCCCAAGGTCACACAGCCAGTTAGGGCTCTTCATAATTCTACTGGCCCTTTGTGAGATTCTAAGATTCTTTGAAACATTAATGGCAGAAATCTGGCAGCAGCTGGTGAGTGAAAAAATTTGGAGAAGAATGAGGCCCTGGAGCCATCTCTTGTATGTCTCTATGCCCACCATCATGATCAAAGTGTCAGAGCTGGGGTCAGATGCTGGCTCTGTCGCTTACTAGCTGTGTGACAGGCCCGGAGTCACTTTGCTGACCTGAGCCTCAACTTTCTCACCTCTGAAATGGAATAACAGTATCTCTCTCACAGGGTGGTTGAGAGGATTTATTTTGATGACCTAAGTGAATAACCCAGCACGGAATAGGTGTTCAATCTTGTGAGCACCTGTTCTTCTCCAGGAAGAGGTTGGCTTCTTCGTGCTGACTTCCCTGTCACTGAGGCTGCTGTAACAGGTGCCTGTTATCTTTCTGATCCTGATACTCATTTACCTTCCCTTGGTTGGCACTGATTTGCCTCAGGACCTGGTTATGTGCTTATCTTTCCTTTTGCCTATTAGACTCTCCTGTCCCAGCTCCAACCAGAACTGGAGGCCTTGACCCAGCCTGTTGGGGTGGGGGTGGGGTGCCCGACACTGCCTGGGCTGGGTGCATTGCCTCTGGGCCAAGTACCACAGCAGCTGAGGTCAGTACAGGCCCTGAGGTCACTAATATCCACTGACTTGCACAATGTCTGTGTGTGTGTGTGGCGGGGCGGGGGACGGGGGGTCTTCTCTCCCCATTTGCAATCAGGTAAATGAGATTCAGAGAGTTCACACGCACCGGAGTTCACATGGCTGGCTGAGTAGAGATGCAATCAAGATCTGCAAATTTCAAGGTTTTCTCCTGAGTGTAACTGGCTATTGGCCCTGTCTTAAGCGCTACCCGCCCATCTTGGGGCATCTTGTTGACCTCCGCCCTGTGCCTCCACAAGTGATTTTTAAACCTTTGTCTCCAGCCTGGAACTCTCCAGTGCTCCTCAGGCCCCCATGGGGAGATGATTGTTCTCATCTCTCTCCAAAATCCCAACTCTAACTCATCTGCCCGCTCCCCTGAACACCTGCTCCTTCCCATTTATTCCTGATCTCTATTAACGAAATCAGGAAACCACACTGTCACCAGAGCTGCATCCTAGACTCCTCCCCCTTCCTCCACACCCACTCTCCATCTGCCTCCCAGCCCAGCCAATTCTTCTGCCCAAGTTTCTCTCCTATCCTTCCCCTCCTCTCATCCCTATAGGAAGCCTTCATCTCCTCTCCTGGATTATCATCATAGTTATCGTTTCTAAGTAATTATATTGTTATTATTATTATTGTCCCTGTTATCATTCACAGCTCCCTTCTCCCACCGGATTTTAAGGCTTCATGAGCCAGAGTACCGTATCTTCTTTATCCTCACTGTATCCCCCATACTCTTTATCTTGTCTGAATTGTGATTGAAACTCAAGAAATTTTTGTAGAAGGAAAGAATTGCCAGCATGTATTAAGTTATATCTCAGGAACTATGCTAAGTCCTCTACCTGCATTCTCTCACTTAATCTTCAATGCAACACACTACATTGGAGATATTACAGTACTCACTTTACAGATGGAGCAGTCAAGGCTCAGAGAGGTCACATGACTGGCTGCCCAGCACACAAGTGGCAGAGCTTAGGATTCTAGCTCAAAGCCTGTCACGTGGTGTAGCACATTGCTACACCATCTCCCTTGGTGCACGGCCTTCTCAGGGGTCCCTGTGCCCAGTCTTGCTCCCTCTGTCCCACTATTCCTGTGATTACGGTGACATATGTACCTTTGGTGGTGTGTGAAAGAATTCTTTCTAGGTGGTGCCAGATAAGTATTTTTAAATAACTAGATATTTATTTAACGTGTATTGGGAAAAACAACAGCAGATCATACTTGTGGTTTGCCTGCACTTATTGCTTAAGTTTAAAGTAACAGAAGTAAGTTATTTAAAGTTGATTTACGGAAAAGTATTAAGGAAATCAAAGGTCAAGGGGCAAACAATATGGCAAAAATTGGGGATGTCAAGTGACTGAAGCTTGGGACTTCCCTGTGCATCTGAGGGACCTGGGCCGCAAACCCTGAGCAGTTCTCAGGGCCAACCATAAGGTGGACGGATCTCAGAAATTCAGCCGAGAACACCCAGGAACTGTCTCATGTGCTGTTTCTTTTCTCCCTGTATAGATAAAGCATCTTGAAGAGGGCCCACTGACCAGAAGGAGGGCTTGGGGGCCCACCACCCCACCCAGCCCAGGAAGGCCCCGCAGCTGGACCTCGCCCCACCTCTGTGAGTCAGCTAAAGAAGGCGAAGCTGCAGAGAGCCAGAGGAGGCCCAGAGAGAAGCAGAGACCAGGGCTCGCACAGGTGGCCCCAGCGCCAGCCCAGGCCCCAGCTTCTCTGCAGTGCTGCCAAGGAGAGGCAGCACCATGCTGGGCCCCCACCTCCAACCCCCGGTCCTTGGACCCAGCGAAGGCAGACCTACCCCTTGTGCCTTCCGGATCCCTGATGGGAGCTACAGGTGTCTGGCCTTGGAAGCTGAGGAGAGTGGCGGCGAGGAGGGCCTGCAGGGAGAGGCAGGGCTCATGGACTTGGAGAAGGACAGGATGGTCAGCAGGAGTGGGGACAACTCAGCCTGCAGAGACACCCAAGGAGCACCAAAGCTGCCCAAAGCCCTGGGCATCCAGCCACCCAGCTGCTCCAGGGAGCCACGAAGGGGGCCCCAGCATGATGACAGGGCCAGCCAGGACTGGGACGTGGTGAAGGCCCAGCAGGTGATGACAGCCAGCTCTGTATCCAGGATTCCCCAGAAACCAGGTAAGCTTATGTCCCTTTTCTCCTGGACTGCCAGAGTCATAGGGGACTCTACAGGTTCTTCACACAGGGCTTCCTGACCACATTTTCCCGTGATGCATAATGGTCCATCACAGTCGCACGGGCATGCCCAGATCAACAGCTGTGGAGACACAGGGGAGGCTGTGAGCTACGTGCAGTTCCAGCTGTACCACATCTAAGCCCACTCTTCCCTCTTCCAAAGAGAGCAGGTGAGAAGGCAGTGAGAGAAAGCCACGTTATCATGCTTGGTTGAAAAAAGTCCATCTCTCACTCTTGTCTGCCTTTTAATCTTTCGTGGCAACGAATGACCATGGAGTGTGAGCAACTGATGGGGTGGGGCTGCCTGGTCGAACATATTAAATGCCAGCTACTTGAGGCTGCTGGGGACCCGGCACCGGGCAAAGCAGACATGGTTGCTGCCCTCATGGAGCTTATGAGGTGGAGACTGAAGCCTTAGATCTTAATCGGACCTCTTAATTATACAGGTGGGGAAACTGAGACCCAGAGTGAGGAAGAACTGTCCAGGTCACTTGGCCTGTCGGTGGCCGATTTGGGCCCACATTCCTCACCCATGCCTTGGTTTCCCAACTGTTAGAGATGACAGAGGCAGGACCTGGGTCACCTGGGCTGCAGTGAGGACCTAATGACAGTATGTAGGGGAGAGCTCCATGTGCACTGCACCAATAGAAGGAAGGAAGGAAGGAATGATGATCATTTGCTCTCAGGAGGCAGGAGTCGGCACAGCAGAACAGGTCGAGGAAACCCATACTGAATCACCTCCACAGCCGGGCCCATGGAAACGCCGAAGCGGGTCCAGATGGGAGGATGTGAGCTGAGCCATGCTCACTCAGACAGGAACGGCTGCCAGCAGATCCTGGAGGCTCAGGGCATGAGGGGGACATAGGCCTGGGAGGGCTTGTGCGTCAGGAAACTGAAGGAACATTTCACTTCTCTGCAGGCGTCAATGACGCCCTGGTTGGCATCTTACCAGCCATCTTGCCCACTCTCTTCTCAGAAATAATTCTTTTCAGGCTTGAACCACCCCTCATAGCCACCTTCTCCCCGCCCCCCATGCTTGGGTCAAGCAGGGAGCTGGGTAGGAGCAAGGAGGGGCCTTCAATGAATCTAGGACAGGAAGAGGGAGGACCCCAGGAGGGCCTAACAACCTTAAACTTGGAAGTGGGCCCTCACACCAGACTCAGCCCAAATTCAATTCCCCTCGAGCCTAAAAGCCCAGGATCTGCCCCCTTCCCACTCACAGACCATGGCTGGGAGTCAGGAGACATGGGTGCTGGTTCTGGACCTGATGCTGACTAGCCAAACCCCAGCAAAATCCTTTCTCCTGGGTGACCTTCAGTTTCTTCATCTGAGAAAATAAAATAAAAATATGAGTTATATTTTTATACCTCACAGAGCTGTTGTGAAGTTGCCATGACCTTAGACGGGACAGTGTTTTGGAAATTTTAGAGTAATCAAGATAAGCATGTGAAGATGTTGATAATTAAAATGTTTACCATCAGCTCAATAATACAACAGTTATTATTTGTTAAACTCTTTTGTGCCAATCCCACTGTGCTAAGAGCTTTACACATACCATTTCATGTAATCTCATGATGATCCCCATGAGGGATATATTGTTATTATCTCCAATATACAGATAAGAAGACTGAGGCTCAAAGAATATAAGTGAACTTGTCCAAGACTTATGACTAGCAAGCTGCTAAGCCATGATTCAATCACAGTTTTTTAAATATGGGGCTTTGCCCTTAGCTCCCACTGTGTTCTGGATTTATAAGGAGAGGGCATTGTTTGCTGACACCTGGAGTGAGAGACCATGGATGGAGAGGGGAGAAGAAAGGCTACATTTGCAGAATCTTCTTGGCTTGTCACACAGAGCTGGGTCATTACACAGTATCTCAATCTTTTGATCTTACGGCTACATTTGCTGAATCTTCTTGGCTTGTCACACAGAGCTAGGTCATTACACAGTATCTCAATCTTTTGATCTTACTGGAGCCTTTCAAGGCAGGTACTCTATTCATTGCACAGTGAGGCAACTGAGGCTCAGAGAATGAAGTCCCTGGTCCAAAGTCACCTAGTCAGTGTTGGACCTGAGACTACGATTGTGTCCTTCTTGCCTCACCGTCTTGTTCATTACTCTCTTAAGTGTCCAGCCAGATGGTTATCCAGTTCTGGGGACAGGGGAGGCAGTCATCTCAGGAGGATAGAATGGGCAGGGAAGACTTCTCAGAGGTGAACGCAGGAAGGAAGCTGAGTCTTGCAGAAGAGTAGAAATCTGGTGATCTTGAGTCAGAGCCCACACTGGCCTTTCTGCTCCCTTGGGAAAGGGAGTGGCCAGACTCCTTTCTCTTTGCCCGGAGATCCAGAGGGAAGAGGCCCATGGAGCTGCCAGGTTATTAGTGGATTACGGCTTCCTTTTAAAGCTTCCTCCCATTACCGCCTGAGGATTATTAGCGTCTTCAGACAATTACACCCATCCTTCTGCAATTATAACTGCCTCTCTTGAGTGCTCCCTGGCAGCTTTAAGTATGGGTCATGACATCCTCTGCCTTGGGCACCCACCATTTGGGATGGGTGGGTACCAGGACCACTTCTCTAAGGCCTGAGTACCAGCTAAGCAGGGCAGAATGGGTCCTTGTCAGACTGCGGGGTCAGGGGTGCAGAAAAATGAGGTGGGCAGCAGCTCAAGTTCCTGCCATAGGCTGCTGCCAACTTGGGAGAACATATGTGGGAAGGAAGTTATCATATAGGGCTCATAATCAGGCCTCGGCCCGCACTATCTAGTCCACATCTCACCAAGCGAGCCCCACGCTACAGCTGTCTCTCTGCAGCCTCAGCTGGTCATAACTGGAAGGGCTCATTGAGATTATTGTGTGGATAATCTTGTAAGAGACTCTGAAGTCCAGAGGCAGCAAGTAATTTGTCCAAGGTCACATAGTAAGTTGGTGGCAAAGCTAGAGCTAGAACCCAGAGCTTCTGCCTTTCAGTTCAGCTGCCAGGCATTGTGCTAAATGCTTTGTATGGGTTACTTCATTTCATCCTCTAAATAACCCTAGGAAGTTCATTTCCTATCTCTGTTTCACAGATGAGGAAACTAAGGCATAACGAGTTTAACTGACTTGTCAAAGTCTCAGGCCTGTGGGTGGAGGAGCTGAGATTTGAACTCTGGGAGGTCTGGCCCATGCTTTCCACCATCCTCTGCACTGCCTTGTCTCCATGGAAACAAGGCAGCAGGCTGTGTTCTTCCACCCACCTGGGGCTGTGAAAAGGTTGTTCAGGCTCCCGAGGATGGCAGGGGATTCTGCCAAGCCATCTTTTCTCCTCCTTGGAGACACTCAGGGAGACCCGAGATCCACGGCTGACCCAGCCCCTCCTTCGCTGTGGCTTTGGGAGAGCCACCTTTGCTCCTCTCCAGGCCACTTGTTTTGGGGGGTATCTACAGGATTTGGAGGCCTTGCCAACTCTAATGGACACTACTATCTGAGCCTGTTGGGTGAGGATGGCGGTGTGGATCTGGCTTGTCAGGTGAGCCCTGACCCTGGCCATGTCTATCTAGTTGAGTCAGAGAAACTCATGCTCATGATAAGAGCTGAGAGCAGTCACTGGGCCAAAGACAAGGCCCCTGCTCCTCAGGCTTGTGGTAGAGAGGGCAGATAGAGAGGCAGAGTACCACCCACTCCTCCACCCACTGCTCCTCCCACTCCTCCACACCATAGGGAGCGTAATTAGAAGGTAACGTGTAGGAGCAGGGCTCACGGGTTCACGTATACCTCACATGTGCACTCACACATACATGCTCATACCCTCTGTAGACACATGTGTAAACACACATGGTATATACACACCATGTTCTTATGAAAACACTCACGTGTGTATACTTCTATATGTACACACATGCACACATGTGCACGCCCTCAGCACCCACACACCCATGCATGAGGTATACAGCAGCACACAGCCTCCTACAGACACCCTGACCCATGCGTGCCTCACTTTGACATGTATCAGATTTGTATACATAGCTGCGGTCCTACCTGAAACACACAAGCACACAGATTCCCTCCTTAGATCCGGGTTAAAAGCATGTTCTTTTCTCCATTTTCTCTTGCTCACCTACACTTTTGAAATCTCTCTTGCATGCACACATTTTCTTCTGCAGGCATATCCACTCTTACACGCCCACTGTCACACACCCACATACAGACCGAACCACTTTCTGTCCTCCTTCCTTTTCCTTATTTCTTTCTTTTTCATATCCACCCACACAGTAATCTTAGCCTTTCTCTTTTCTCTCTCTCTCTCACCCACACAGTTTGTTTCCTGCTTTCCCACAGGCTGGGCTATAGCCACCTTCCTAGCACACGCGCTCACAGGGCAGGCAATACCCTGCCTGATGCCAATTGCCAGGACTCACTCCGTGCCCCCTGCCCCCACCTCAGCACAAGAGCAGCTACAAGGTCAGGGGAATTCTCTGTGGTCCATGAGGCCAAGTGGAGGGACAGGAGCAGCCAAGGAGGGTTTGTCTCCTTGGTCACCTGACCTCCCACACTCTGAGCCTGCCCACTGGGGGACAGGAAATGTCCCCAAACCAGGCCACCTGCAGCCCTGCATTTCACAGAACCTTGGTTGGGGTGGGCTCACATCAGCACATTTCTGACTTCCTTCAGCAGAAATCTAAACACAGAACCTTGACATAAAAGACCGATGAAAGTGGAACCACCCTGGTTGAAGGGGTGGGGTACTTGGAACTCAAGGAAACTTTGCTGAAAACCCAGGCCAGCATTTTTCCAAGTGTGGTTTTGTTTCAAAATTGTTGGGAGTGTGAAGGGTGCTTGTTATCAGTCCTGCTTCCAAGCCCACAATTTCCCCGCCCTACACTGGGGAGGGGGCACCAGAATGTGGAAATCTTGACTTTTAACAGCACCTCATGTGATTCCAGTGCATACTGGTGGCTGCCACGG